TTAATTACCGAAAATGGCCTTAGACATAAAACTGAACTATCTGATAAAAATTCTATGTAATTATATGCCACTATTGAAAGAAACAATCAATCTGATAAGAAAAAGCTGCGACTTGTTTTGAAAATGAGGCGTAAAAGGTTACCAGCGAGAATATTCCGTTTGGCATCGGTTGTACCATTATTGGCGACTTTATCGCTTGCGCCGGCAAAACGGAAAAGTACCGAGAGATACTACAATTTATATATAATTTCACTAAAATTATTTACAAAACTCGTAATAGTATATTCATTATAACAAGCTGCAAAGGATTCTGAACAGGGATATAATAGCAATAATCACCCTGCTTATTAAATTTTAGTAACTACTAAAATATGGTTATTTTAATGTATATTAATAATATTAGCAGTAAATATATAAATTAAAATTCTAACTTTAATTTGCGGTAGTCTCTTAACTCTATTTTATTTCCCTTTTCTGTCTTAAAAGGAGTAACTGATTATCAGAAATTCCTCTAAACTGTGCCATTTTACAATTACTCTGTATCAAGATACGAGTCTTGCATAAAGCTAATGATGCAAATACTTAGATAACACTTCAGCCAATAATGATTTTAAGTTTGGGAACTGAAAATCCCAAACCTAAGATTAACTAATCAAAATAAAGTTATATTACACCCAAATCATTCTGAATCGAGTGTTCGTCTCAGATATATCACATTCTTACTCTCACTTGCTGTCTTGCCAACACTGCCGCTTATTGTTTGTATTATTATGATGATGTAAATAGATTCAAATGTGATTAAGAACTAGCAGGCAGATTGCACCAGGTTAAGTTGTATACATTTATGTCAAGAACTGATTTGTCCAGAAATAAAAGTGCTGAATCGTCTATGATTGTAAATACTTCTTTTCACATCTGTATGTCAATATCTAGATTTACAATCTGAAATTATTACTTATACAGACAAATATATATATATATTAGATATACAAAGTAATTCAATATATATTAGATATACAAAGTAATTCAAAACTAAAAGAACAAACTTCGGGAAGAATTACAGTACATCCAGACGACTCGGAATCCTATAACAATCCAAAGTCAGAAATGCAGTCCTGATGAAATTGGGGGTTGTTAGGTGCTGTTGCAGGAAAATTAGCAACAACCACTGGCAAAGGTATTAAAATGGAAAATATGAATACATTGTGATCCATGGGCACCGCATGAAATCTCCGATGTTTTGAAATACATCAGGTATCCATTGGACATTCATGGTAACTAAAAAGATGAGTCATTTTAAAATGCTCAGTGCATTTAAAACATCCAAGATTCCATGCCTTCATCAGAAGTAAAGCCAGGACTTTTGTTGTGGTCTTTAACTGTTAGTTTGCGATCACAATAAATTCCAACAATTTTTTTTATCTACTACCTCTGATCCAAAGGAGGATAAACAAAGAAGCATGTCAATATTAGGTGCAAAGACTCTATTTAGCGATAATTTATGATACATGTACACTTTCAGTTTCACAACAAGTGCTAAATTTTTTACCAGGTCATAAAGTTGCTATTGAGTTGACAAACTTTCATGGGAGCACAGATAAAAAGTTTCGACCATTCATCATTATGCAGGCTTTGCCTCACAAAGACGTTGCATGTTGCACATGTTTGCACCCACAATAGAGATTCTTGCAATGTCTCCTAGACCACAACTTCAAGGCATCCCCCAGAAGAAATCCAGGCAAGATAAATCAGTTGATTGGCCATGGGATGAGTCCTTCATGCCCAATCCACTGCTGCACAAATGTATTATTCGAGAAATCCTGCATGGCACAGGCAAAATGAGCTGGAGCCCCTTCATGCTGCTACCACATTGCATGCTAAATAGAAGTTGGAACATTGTCGAGTAACTGTGGTAGTACCTCAGAAATCTTCGGAACAAGCAAAATGAGCTGCAGCCCAATTATGCCAATGCCACACTGCATAATGAAGAGATGTTAGAATACTGCTGAGTAATTGTGGTAGTACCTCAAAAATCAGTCATCTTCTTTAATACCAGAAAAATGCGATATCCTCCATATAAGGCTTCATATTTCGTAGGTTGAGGTGGCTTAGCAACAGAACATAACTTCATCCATGAAAAGAATGCAGGATGGAAATACCATGTTCTGGTTCCATCAGTTCATATACCAGAGTGCGAATTCAACGCGATGAGGATAATTCTCAGGCTCCGCACCATACACTGGATGAGATGCTGCAATATCACATGCAATGGTTTGTGTGCTTGTACCAGAAGCATTTTTACTCAATGCAATATCTCGTCATCTAAGGCAGGTGTACGTGTTATTTGTGGCCACCATGTATCATACTCACTAAAGAATATCCCATATTTCCATAGATTACACAGTATGTCCTATATTCCCACAGATTACAGTGCAAAGTCATAGAAATTTGGCACAAGTCTGTTTAGGTTCCGTTGTACACTGTGCCGCAACCCTTCCTTTGCACTGAACTTCGCGACACAAAATGTGCATGCTCACTTTCCCCATACTCGTAAATTGTTTCATGCTCTCTGCACGCAGTTAGAATTTGAAATGACTAAAGCTGATTCCAACTACAGCTCTGGTGAAAAGTGCCCTCAATCATACAAAACTGTAAATGGCAAGAACCAAGCATGTAGTTAGAAAACTTTGGGCAGCTTCAGTCAATATGTGATTACAACATATTTGTATTTTCCATCCTAACAGTTCTGCGGATGGCAGTCGACAGTTTTCTTCCAATAACCCAATATCTCTAATATCTTGTTAGAATAGCATTGCCATGGGATTCCGAATTGTCTAAGTGTACCCTGTGTCCCTCCTAGAATCACACATACTATATACAGTCAAAAGTCTTTAATCCAGACTCATCGGGACTTCGGTGATTCTGGATTATAGATCATCAGTTTAAATCTGGTAAGATGGCACGCAGAAATTATAAAATTAAAAATATGAAACCATAATTTATGAAATAAAGAGCAATTATGATCTAAAGGGTATCAAAATTTACAAAAAAAAAGCTTTATATTTGTTTACTTTATTAAACATTTCTTTCAACACGTGCATGCGTAAAGCATACATTGCGCATAGTCAAAATTAGAAAATTGCAACCAGAAAACTTTTTGATGCGTATTCGTGATATTTATAATGACGAGGAATTGGATTTAAATCATATCAAAGACGGAGTACATCGAGATGAAATACTACATTTAGTAAGGAATTATAAACCGAATAAAATAAAAACATCTGCCCTGAAGGATATGAATAGTGCTGACAGATCAACTTCCAATTCATTGTGCGCCGTGTCGTCGTCCCCCCCCACGCAGAGCAGCGTGAAATTTATAACGATATTTCAGAATGATTAGAGAATCAATGGATATGCCTTTATCCATTTTTTGCAGCAATTCCACATTTTAAAGTGGAACGTTTTTCTGAAGGCCACTAGATGGCATCCTGTATCCACTACGTTTGAAATGAACACAGTTTTAGGTTCCTGACCTTGATATATTCTGCTTGACTTTGGTATTTTACTCATCAGCTGTTCGAGGGTGGGGGCGGAGGGAAAGCGTAAACAGAAGTGGGCTCTTTAAATCGCAGTGTGCTAATGAAAACATTCTCGTATCTGATTTATATCCAATTCCTTTTTTTATTCTATTTTTTCCTCTGCTATGTACGGTCTTTTAGGGTTACTGTGTGGAGTTCTTTTACATTTTGCATTGCCTTCAGATATATTTCCGTTCCTCCTTTTTTTATTTAGGCTATTATGGCGGGAAGGTGCTATTTATCAGAGGAAGAATACCCTATTATGGTTAGTGAACCATTTAACTAACGCAAATGAGAATTCTGATTCATTTTCTAAAGAGTTAAAAAGTGACTTTTCTAAGAGTTACAAGTGATACTTCTCTGTGCTTCAAGATTTACCACACTCGTTTTCATTTTAAATTTTGTTACTTCTTACTTTATTGTGTTCTTTTATTCATTTTAAACTTTATTGATGGATTTTATCAATAAAAACGTGGAATAATTGAATTGCCCTTCCGAAATTTTTTAGAAGATAAGCAATTTTTTAAGTATATTTTCATTAAAAAAGAAAAAAATGTTTTAAGGGCTAATTTTAACATATATAACAGCTTAAGTAATAATCTAAAATGATACCAAAAATTATGATGCTAGAAACGAAACTTTTGTTTTTCTGATTTTTTTTATAAAATTAGGCTTAGCGATGCAAAACCTCCGTCCAGTATGGTGACTGCCTTTGATTCTCTTCCGTCCCGCACGAGCATCTTAAACAAAGGTGCGACGTCGCGAAAAGGTTAAGCAAGAAAGTTAATTGCACTGGCAGTTTCAAGAAGCAAATCTGGAATTTGTTTCTCTTTTATACATGAATGCCTAATTCCACTTAATTTCAATTTGAAAATTAATTTATATTTGATTTAAATTCAAATATCTATGTCAAGGAAATAAAGTTTTTGTGACATTAACTGAAACTAAAAACTACATCCATAGATCCTAGTGTCGATGTCATTCTTATTGTTTGTAATAGAAATGGAAAACTACATTTACAGCATTCACATCAGGGTTATACATGGATTATAGCAGTTTCAAAAAGTAATCAAGGGATATAAAAAGGAGATCCGCAAAGAAAATTTTGCATTAAGAAATTTTTTTACCAATTCTTTCTGATTAACTCTGGAATTAAAAAAAAAAAAAAAAATATGTATGCAGCATTAAAGTACCGTCAAAAGTTTCAAATTTACATAACAGCATAATCCTTCATATAACATGCAATTGTAATACAACAGCCATGAATGAAAAATGACTGTACAGTAATAATTGTTGACACAGATGTATGTGCCTACGTTTTAAGTATACAACATTTTAAGCAAAATAATCATGACATTAATAAATAAAAATACATAATATTCTGCATTTAATGAAACAGAAGGCAAAAAGTTCAAGAACAGGTTTCTTTAAAAATAAACATCTTTATTTCAGTGAAACATAATGTATTTTACAATGATTTTTCATCAATTATTTACACCACATTCATATAAATTCTGTGCTTATTTTTTTTACTACATCATCTTTTTAAACAATAATACTGTACTTTAACAAGCGTTTAATAACAAAGATTGATTTACTCTAAATTCATTGTTTGTTATTTGAATGAACGAGTTATTCAAACAACAAACAATGTCTTTATCAAGAACAAAATACATTTAAATTAAGCAATAATTACATGCTTTTTATAGTTATACATCCCATTTCAAGTGACAATTTTTTTCCTAGACTTGTGTTGGCAACTGAAGTTTGCTGGCAAGATCTTGATATGGTTTACCATGATGAGATGCTTTAACTTTTATGTACGACAAACAATTTCCCTGAAAATTTTAGAAAAGCATAAATAATTTGCATATTACCTTTTATTCAAATAGTTTTAAAATAAATACAGCAATATCTCATATAGTTCAGGTAATTGATTTTGGTAATATCTCAGACTGTTTGCTACCAGATTAACAGGGGAACTAAATGCATACAAAAAACAATAATTAGTTCTAAAAACTTTTTTCTCCCGGTGTTTCAATAAATATATATATATATATTTTTTTTCCAATTAATTTTTTTACTCTCTAAAAACTGCAATAATGATATCTACCTATTTCACCCCTTTCACATTTTCCCTCATGTATTTCTTCATAGCGAAGAACTACATGTTTAACGTTTATCAAATTGATAGGCTGTCTTCAATCTTGGAATCAACTTCTATATTATACTTTGACAAAGTTTCCACCATTCTAATATTTTTTTTTATTGTTGTTCAGCTATCAAATTTTGTATAGGCAATTCAGCACAATCATTGTTGTCTATGTTAGCCTCTCATTTTTCATAAGCCTCTTATTATTCATCCATGTCAATGAATGTTTCATTGTCTAGTTCATTACTGTTTCTTTTAATGCATTCAGTTATGTTATCAGAATCTAACTCATTGCAACCAACATTAACTACCCCAAAATTCCATTTAAAATGTATCTTCATATCCTTCAGTGACAGGCATCAGAACTCAAAAATGAACATTTAAGCATAGGTACACAGCGAAAAAAAAAAAAAAAACAAAGGTTTGAGGGACAAAGCCCTTTTGGACTAAAAAAAAAATTAATCTGAAAGGTTTCAGATTTTAAATTATGTCCAAAGGGGCGTGCGTTTTAACATTTTGTCCATTACCTTTATTTATTAAATATCACGTTCTTTGCAGTTAAACCATAAAACTCAGTTCAAGAGCAATATCGCAAAATAGTTTTAAATTGAGCATATCTTTAGAATTTCCGATACAAAATCTCGTGCGCTGGAGATAAAAATGTTTTTTCTGTACAACGTTGCCATTGCTCACTTTGAAATCCTTGAGTTTGTTAATCAAAAATTCGTTAAAGTTTTACAAAATACGAAATCGATAATAAAATAAATTTCAAACTGGGGCTTTCACATGCCCATATTCACAGTAGGATTACGTCATTCAAAATTCGATGGCTCTATGTACCATTGTTTTATCACAATGCGAGAAATATACATACATTTATGCAGATTTTTCATTATTTAATTTCTTCAAATATAATGCAGGACTCTAACATTTGGTGACAACAGTTTAAAAAGTGAAACGGGTATTTATAGCGAACCAACGCAAAATTGCAAAACGAAAAAAATAGTCCTTCAGGGATAAAGTCTCTTTGGACTAAAAAAATTTAAATCTGAAAGGTTTCAGATATTAAAGCACATCCAAAGGTGCTTTTTTTTTTTTTTTTTTTTTAAACATTTTGTGTGTTATATTTATTTATTAAATATCATGTTCTTGCACTTAAACCATAAAATTCAGTTTAATAGCAATGTCACAAAATAATTTTTAAATGAGCATATTCTTAGAATTTCCGATACAGAGCTCCGCGCACTGGAGATAAAAATAATTTAAATAAATTAAAACAATTAAGCAGTATACTAGAAAACAAAAATGAATTGAAATACGAGGGCTATCCAGAAAGTAGATTACGTTTTGGAATAAAAAAATAAACAAAGTATAGGAAACAAATTTTATTATATACAGATGAAAGCCACACTCAAATACTACTTTTCTACATAGTCACCATACAAATTAAGGCATTTATCGTAGCGATGTACGAGCTTGGAAATTCCTTCGTCGAAAAATTCGGCCGCCTGCGCCTTCAACCACTTCGTTACCTCTTCTTGCAGCTGTGCGTCGTCATCAAAACGCTGCATAGCCAGCCACTTCTTCATTGCTGGGAATAGGTGGAAGTCGCTCGGTGCCAGGTCGGGACTGTACGGCGGATGAGGAAACAACTCCCACTTAAAAGATTCAAGAACTTTACGAGTGACATTTGCCCGTGTGGGGCCGGGCGTTGTCGTGAATCAACAAGATCTTAGAGCTCAACATTCCTCTGCGCTTGTTTTGAATTGCTCTTCTGAGTTTTTTGGAGAGTTTGGCAATACCTTTGAGAGTTTATTGTAGTGCCTCTTTCCAGGAAGTCCACCAAATTACATACACCTTTTCTGTCCCAAAAAACAGTCGCCATCATCTTCCTTGCCGACATTGTTTGCATGCATTTCTTGGGTTTTTGGGGAGAACTTGTGTGCCCCCACTGCATTGATTGCAATTTCGTTTCACAGTTCACATGTTTCACCCATGTTTCGTCACCAGTAACGATGCGATCGAGTAAAGAGTCACCATCCTTATGGTAAGCGTCCAAAAAGTTCAACGCTGCAGCCATTCGCTGATTTTTGTGGTCCTCTGTCAAGATTTTTGGAATCCATCTTGCACAAAACTTGTGGTAACCAAGCTTTTCGCTGATGATTTCGTGCAACAAACTTCGCGAAATTTGTGGAAAACTCAAAGAAAGTTCCGTTATTGTGAAATTTCGATTTTCACGGACTTTAGCATCGACTTTTTCGAGAAGTTCGGCGGTCACTATGCTGGGGTCTCCCACTTCGATCTTCGTCGTGAACATTGGTTTCGGCCATTTTGAAATCTTATGACCCACGCACTCCACCTTCAGTGATAATGTTGTCCCCATACACTTCACGAAGCTGCCGATAGATTTCTATCGGTTTACAGTTTTTTTGCAGTCAGAAACTTATTATTACTGAGCGCACCTCGCAGCTCGCGGGATTTTCAATTAACGCAGACATTTCAAACCGTCACAGTATCTGAACGGAGCACAGCACGAACCTCTCACTAGCACGGCTAGATGCAGACTGAGCTGCGCAACGCTCTGACCCCAAGATGGCCGCGCTAGCCCCGCCCCTAGCGGACACAGACGGAAACGTAATCTACTTCCTGGATGGCCCTCGTACATAAAAAAGGCACAATTAATAATTTAAAATTTATCAAATTTTATGAAATATGTAATGCAAAGAAATACTGTAATCTCAAACAATGCAAGTAGGTTGAGGTTATTTTTAATCTACTAATCTGGAAAAAATTGGTAGATTAAAAATAACCTCATTATAAATAATAAACAGCTTTTAAAACATGAGTCATTTTTAGTGTTTTTAAATAATAAATATAATTAAAAAAACACTTAAAACTTAATTGATTTTAGAGCATAAAAATATGATACTAATATGTTGTACTATGATGCTAAAATTGAAATATTAGCAGTCACAAAAATTTAAACCTACAAACCTTAGCACTTTTTTAAATTTCATACTACAAGATAATACAGACAGCAAATTAGAATTAAAATAAAATGTGACTTTCAGTTCAATGGTTTAATTAACAATTCACAAACATACACACACACATGCAGTTTTCCAAACTTTTGTCTAACTTACAGCAGACTTCATATCACAATGGCCATGACGATGAGCTAATAACCACAGATTATTACATAAAGTAAATAAGGAACTGCAGTTTAAATCTTCATGAGCAGCAATATGGCATAATAACTCCAATGCTAAATGAGATTGTTTTTTGAAATTCTGTAAAAAGATTGGAAGGTAACAAATATTAAAATAATATTTCAGTTTAAGATGCAAGTGTTATTTTTAGAAAGTATACTCAAACTTTCTGTCTGATAAAAAAATTATAAAATACATTGAAATATACATAATTTTTGCAGTAACATTTAATATTAAAAGGCCCAACAACTTTGAAAATATCCATTGCAGAAAACTGACTTTCAGATAACCAGTTCACTTAAAATTTTTAGACTAACTAGTTAGCTAACTAGTCTTAAAATTCATTTTAGAGAAATTTATCTTTTTAAAATATTGTATTCACTCATAGTTATGAACACAGTAATTTGAAAATAATTTCATATACATCGACTTTAATCATTGGCATATGGCATCTCATTTCAGTTATCAGCTGTCATTACCCCTTTGTAGACCAATTCATTTTGAAGATCATGCAAAATGAAATTCTTTTCAAAGATACTATAATTATAATTAAATGAATAGAAATAACTATAGTTTAGTTAAAATAGAAATAACTATAGTTAAATGGAAGGATAACAAAAGTGTGTAACAACAGCAACAAACTTTGATTACATAGAACCTCTACCTCAAGTTTCAAGGCATCAAAAAGGTTTGAAAGAAAAATCCTAAATTTTGCAACCTAGCACTACAGCCCAATAAAACAAAAATATGGGTGGTGTCAACCAGCACCACTGGCTTCTTGGGAAAAAAAAAAAAAAAAAAATCCGTTGCAAAAAAAAAAAAAAGGTAATGGCCAATATTTACGAGAGTTATTGACTTGGCTATCATAAATACGTGTATTCTAGTCAACAAATTCTGGGAAGAAAAGTACAAAAGACATCTGAAGATATACCATGGTTGTGTACTACAAACTGGGAACAAATTCTATTGGAATTCTAAATATCTATTCTAAAACTGGAAGACCTCTGGTGATGTCGTCGAGACCAAAAGTGATAAACTCTGTATGTCTAGATAGAAAAGACCATGTTATAGGTAAAAGACAAAACCAATGAAGATGCCAATTTCAAAAATGCAAGGGTACACCTCTTACATTTTGTATAAAATGCGATGAATACTTTGAAATGTTTCCCACTGTATCACACTTAAATATTGAAATCTGCTCAATAAAAATGTAACTAAGTTTAGATGCGTAAAATAAGATTTTTTTCTTTTAAATATCTTTAGCTGTTTTTAATTTTGCAAAAAAAAATCATATTTTTTAACTAAATTTGTAATTTTATAAACATAAGATCAGATGGTTCTTATTCTTTTATTATCAGAAGAGGGGCCTTGTTCTTTTATTATCAGAAGCGCCTAGTGATCTATTTATAGATCACTTGTTACCTGAACTGCTAATTATGGTGAGTGAATAAAACTTCATAATTACTTTATAACATATGAAATGCAATTTTAAAATATTTTTCATTTAAAAATAATTTGGGTGTTAATTGGTTAACAAATGACATAAACACACCTTTTTTATGACTTTCAAGATTTTTTTACAATTACTTCCAAGATTTTGTCAATGGCATAAATACTCCTTTTTTATGACTTTCAAATTTTTTACAATTACTTCCAAGATTCTTTCAAAGTTGTATACATGCATAATAAATAAGAAATGGATAGTTGCATAAAGTTTAATAAATAAAAGTTTCTTGATAATAAAAGTTCAGTTTCAAACTGAATCAAATTTTTATGCTTTACTTACCCCTCTATCACCCAAAAATTTTAAATGGGCCAATATTTCATCAATTAATGTAGAACAAATTTTGTTGATTTCTGCAATGAATTTTGGATCACTCCCATACAATGCATCATTGGAATCAACTAAAATAATGGTTTAAAAAAAAAAAATTTTTTTTTTTTACATTTCATAAAAATACATGCAAAATGACAACTACAGAAATTGTTTAACAATTAAACAGATATATAATTCTATAAATATACTGTATACAACAATTTTATAAAAGCAAAATATAATTTTTTTTTTTTTTTTTTTTTTTTTTAGAAATTTACAAATGAAATTAAACAACATTCCTTAAACACTGTGACTGGCTTCTTTGAAACACAGATTACAGTACTATCATATAGTTAATTAAAAAGCACATATCAATACATAATGACTATGGTTTTTAATCTGCCAGGTTCTTTCAAGATTTTTTACCTTTAACTCCTTCAATAAAAAATGATATGCATCATGATTTTCCCCTTTAAATTTTAGAAGGTAAAATTTATAAAACTAGGGAGAAGAAAGGATGAGTAAATAAGGTATTTCCCAATAAAGTATTAGGAAATTAAAAGAAACTTTCAAGCACAGAAGATTAGAGACAATAATTACTTTTATGAATATAAAAAAGATTAAAAAACATAAAAATTATTCCTAGTCACTAAATAAAATGATTTATGCAAGTTATATAATTCAGCTCTATCCCAAGCAAATCAATGCTTACATTTAAAATTCGGCTAAAGTGCAGAATCGCCCACTTCTTTGATTGGCACTTTTTACAAGAGTAAGAAGAATTGGATTTTTGTCAATTTTCTTTGACTTTTTAAGTGAAAATAGGTCGATGTGTACATGCATAAAGTCAAGGAAGTGCACAGTGCCATTTGTGTGCAATTCTGAGATTTTTTTTTAAGTGAAAATAGGTCGATGTGTACATGGATACTGAGTATGTGCAAATTCTTAAAAACACGCCAAGCAGTGGGCGGTTCTGCACTTTCCCCTAAAATTCTAGCATTGTATAAATATAGCAATGCATACAACCCAATAAAAGGTGTTTAAATTAACATTATTCTGAAAACGCATGTTATTAAAAAAAAGCATAATTTATTTTACATTCATCTTATACTTCATACCCACTGCCAAAAAAAAAATGTTTCATAACTAAATTTTATCAAATTAAAGGCTATGATGGAGAAAAAATTATTATTCACTAACAGAATTTTTGCTGTAATATAAAAGATCAGTACAAATGGATGCATGTTCACTTTTCTTTCATACATGTGGTATCATTTCTACACAGCCACCAGAGGGCATTACCTATGCGGCGAGAGCGAGGCGAAAGGTGTCAGATAGATGTTGATTCCATGTGAAGGTGGTAACAAAAGAACTCTGTTAAAATAGCAAGCAGGAGTAGCTACTTAAAGTCATGCAGAACTGTATTTGTATCTAACAAGCACAAGAACACACAACGGTACTGTTATTTAATTCAAATCTGTAGCTTTTCTATTATTATCCATTAAATGTCTAGTGGTGTGGAAGTGTTATTTATTTAAGGATATCATCTTCAACTCCCCACCCACAGAAAATCTGGGGGCTATGGTCCGGACCAACAAACAAGCAAGGTAAATTATTGTTTTACATTAATTTAATATTATAATCATTAGTGTATTAAATAATATCAGAAAGCAAAATTTAAAATTAATCTAAGAATTAGGTCTAACAGTGCAGGCTGAAGCGAAAGTAATTGAGAGTAACTATCATTGAGAAGTAGCTAGTATTTATATCATTGCTAGTATTTATAAAACTAATCCTGAATTTCTTTGTGGAATTATTAAATCTGTTGCGGAGGATCAAAAGAACAAAGTGACTGAAGAGTGGTCAAATTTAGAGTGTGAAAAACTTAAGTTACCTCAGCTTGAGATGGAAAAACAATCAAAATTAAAAGCGTCAAAGAATTAAGTTAGCTCAGTTTGAGAAGGAAATTAAGCTCCAAAAACTGAAACTACATTTGGCTGGTGAAAATGCCAATCGTGCTGTGTTTACAGATTCTGAACCAGCATCGCGAAGTTTAGAAAATATCATCAAAAGCGTTAAAACACTAACTATAGCTCTGCATTTGTTTCAGTCACTTGAGAAAGCTTTTACTACTAAAAGCATACCAGTGGAGTTAAAGTCAGAAGTGTTCATTAATTTATTAGGTGATAAATGTAATAATGTTTTAACATATGTTTCTGAACAAGAGATCGCAGATTATGATAAATTAAAAGCATTCATATTGAAAGAATTTCAGCTGACACCGCGCAAATTTTTGAACAATTTTAAAAATGTGCAGAGACATTCATCTGAATCACATGTTTAGTTCGCGTCTCGACTCAGTGCAACTTTCAATTATTATTGTAAGTTAAGAGAGGTAGATGATTTTAAGAAATTGTGTGATCTCGTATCTGATAAGTTGTATGAAAAGCTTGATTCTAAAACAAAGGAACATGTTATTATTATTGTTCGGGAGGACCAAAGTTGGTTCCCACCAAATCAAATGAGAAGAGAATGTGATCTATTTTACTCATCCAGGGGTAAGTCTTTAGCTGATACCAGTAACACGTAAATCGAAACTCCAGAATAAAAAGCTTAATTTTTCCAAAAACAATCTTAGAAAACACAGAGCAATTCTAGGGATTCGGGGTGTAAAGTCGTAAATCAGAATAACATTAAACAAGAACGTATTTGCTATGTATGTGGGAGTAAGGGTGAATTGTTTCGTTTTGTGAAAAATTGCTCCGAAGGTTTGGAAAAAGGGGAAAATTCCTCGCAAAAAAATATCTGGGTTAAGGATTGGGTCGGATAATGCAGCTAGAAATAAGTTAGAATTTATTACATTGTTGATTGATGGTAAGAAAATAAAATGTTTAATAGATTCAGAGAGTGAACTGATAGCTGTAAAGAAATCACTTTTTCTGGCTAAAATACCATCTGAATTAATAGAACTCAAAAGTTCTTTTGGTCACATGGTCAAAACAGAAACGGCTAAGTTTATTTTTTTTTTTATGTGAAAGTGAAAAACAAACTAGAGTCAGCGATGGTTTATGAGCTGATAACAGACTGTATTTTGCACCCCCTCATGTTTAGCTGACATCTGTGGTGATTGGGTGATGATTACGCAATATGAAAATTATTCCATCTCTTCGGAAAGGAATTTTTGTCTTTTATTTCTGCAGGCTTTGAGCGAGACAGCGAAATAGATTTATCGCACATTAAGGATACTTTTCTTATTAAAGAGTATAAACCACTAGGAAAGCCGTGCAGTACAGACTTAAAAATGAAAGTAATATTAAAAGATGAAATTCCAGTTTCTCAGCATTCGAGGAGAATTCCTTTTGCTGACCAAAAAATTGTCGATGACCAAATAGAGGAGTGGTTAAAAGATAAGATTATAAAGATATTTTGTTCAGAATATGCTTCGTCCATCGTTTTGTATAGAAAAAAAAAATTGGGCAAGACACGAATTTGTTTTGACTTCCGGCAATTAAATAAAAAAATATTTAAGGATTCTTTTTTCATGGCACAAGTAAAAGAGGTTTTAGATCATTTGGGTGAAGCAAAGGTTTTTTTCGAAATTAGACTTAAAAAATGGTTTTTTTCATGTTCCGATGGAGGAAAACTGCACTAAATATTTGGCATTCATTACACATGCAGGTTTGTACAAATTCCTAAAAGCACCTTTTGGTTTGTGCACATCACCTAGTGTGCTCCAAACATTTATTTATAATGTGTTTAGAGATTTAATTCAGGATGACACTGTTGTTACTTACATGGACGATTTTATTATTCCAGCGCAAAACGAGAAAGGTAGGTTTCGAAAAGTTAAAACTCGTTTTAGAAGTAGCCAAAGAATACAGTTTGGAGATCAATTTTAAGAAATGTCAATTTTGGAAAAGACAAATAGAATTTCTCGGGTATATTATTGAGGATGGTACAGTTCACCCCTCTACTGAAAAAAACCAGAGCTGTTCAATTTCCCAGAGCCCAAAAACCTGAAGCAGATTCAGAGCTTCTTGGGTCTTACTAAGTATTTTAGGAAATTTATTGCCAACTATTCAAAAATAGCGAAACCACTAAGTGATCATCTTCATAATGGAGTAGAATTCAACTTTTGCCCTGAGCAAAAAGAGACATTTAACAAATTGAAAGAACTTTCATCGATAATTCCTGTTCTTCATATTTTCAAAAAAGGAGCACCATTAGAATTGCACACAGACGCAAGCAGTCATGGTTTCGGCGCTGTATTGCTACAAAAGTCAGATGACAGATAGTTACACCCCATTTACTTTATGGGTAAAAAAATTAGCCTCAACAAGAGAAGCTATCTAGTTATGAGCTTGAAGTTTTAGCTGTTATGGAAGCGCTATAATTCAGGAATTACCTTTTGGGATCTAAGGTCAGAATAATTACTGATTGTGATGCCTTCCAGAAGACTATGTTCAAGAAAGATTTAACTCCTAACGTGGTGAGATGGGTGTTACTTCTAGAATAATTAGACTATGAAATTGTTCACAGATCTGGGCAGCATATGAAGCATGTGGATTCGTTAAGCAGAAACACTGTCATGATGGTTACCTATTATCAGGGAGAAGTTCCAGCCAAAATTGCAGCTGCGCAAAGAAGTGATGAGCATCTAAAGTTGATAAAATCCTTAGTTGAGCAAGGACTAAAGAAATATTTCCTAGTGAAGAATGTGGTATTATACAAGAAAACGAATTGAACAAGTTATATCAAATTGTGTAGAATGTATTTTGTGCGACAGAAAATGAGTTAAGAATGAAGGATTGTTGAATCCCATACCAAAAGATAGTATCCCTTTGAGCACTTTTCACATTGATTTTATAGGACCATTACCTTTGACAAATAAGAACTACAATTATATCTTAACCGTGGTTGATGCATTCATGAAGTTCGTATGGCTCTATACAGTAAAGTCTACATCAGCTCAAGAGGCATTGCAGAAGCTAACACTGCACCAATCAACTTTCGGTAATCCTTTGAGAATTATAAGTGACAAAGATACGTCGTTTACCTTTAAAGACTTTGAAGATTACTGTAGTCAAGAGAAGATCCAACACGTATTTACAACTACAGGCATTCCCAGAGGAAATGGACAAGTGGAAAGAATTCATCTCACTCTGATTCCAGTCCTATCCAATTTATCCATAGATGACCAAAACCAAGTGGTACAAATATGTTGGGGATGTGCAACGGATCTTGAACAGCACTAAGAGCAGAAGCACATTAAGTTCTCCATTTGAGCTCCTCACTGGTGTCAAAATGAGAAATCGAGAGGACTTAAAGATTATGGAAATTCTCGAAGAAGAAACAAATCTTATGATGAAAGATCGAGAAGATATGAGAGAGGAAGCAAGGAAAAACATTCTAAAAATTCAGGAAGAGAATAGAAAAAAGAGGCACAATAACAAGAGAAAAGAAGCACAGGTATACAATGTGCACAACCTAGTTGCAATATAAAGAACACAGTAAGGAGGTGATCTAAAGTTAAGGCCAAAGTTCTTCGGTCAGTATCATGTAACATTGAGGAAAGGCATAGACCAGGGTGGAAAAAGTAAGACAACATGAAGGTCCTGGCTGTACCACTACAGCAAGCTGATTACATGAAGCCTTGGACTGTTAATGTTTAGGACTGTGGGAGGTTCTACCGCATATGTATTTTTTTCCTTTCCTTTTTTTTTTTTTTTTTTAATTTATTTTACTTGGTACTGTCTTGATATACCAGTGTGCTGATCCATGTTTTCGAGGGCGAAAACAGAGTCAGGATTGCCGAGCTACGGTATCAATCAGTTCTACACAGCCACCAGAGGGCATCATCACCTATGTGCCGAGAGCGAGGTAAAAAACTATGATATCAGATAGATGTTGATTCTACGCGAAGTTGGTAACAAAAGTACTCTGTTAAAATAGTTAAAATGCAAGTAGGCGCTGAGTAGCTATTTAAATACTTAAAGTCATACAGAACTGTATTTGTATCTAACAAGCACGAGAACGCACAACGGTTCTGTTATTTAATTCAAATCTGTAGCTTTTCTATTATTATTCATTAATGTTTTGTGGTGTGGAAGTGTTATTTACTTAGGATATCTTCAACTCCTCACCCACATACATATAGCAGAATTTATAGATGTAATTTATACACATAATGATATTCAGTACTGATGTTTATATTTGTATTCTCAGAAATAATAGCCGCTTTTACAGACGTTTCTACACAAAATGGTATTTTTATTATGCATTTTTATTTTTACTTACTCTCATAATTCAATTCAGATACAGCTTTTGACACAAAATTTTACATTCAAATAAAATAAAAGCTGCATTCAAGTGCATTCTATTTACAGTGTTATTCAACAAAATTAATGATTTCATATTACTATGAAATTACATTATTTCTTAATCCTTTCCAGTCCTAACTACCTCCTATTTCCATACAATTTCTTGATGTTACCAGTTTGCAAATACAGGCAGTAATTCTAGACTGGGCTGAGACTAACTATTAATCAAAGTTTGAATTCATATGCAGAGGGGAATAAGAGAATTTAGAGTAGGTTTTAATTCCGATTATAATGTTAGTTTTCACACAAAACTACTGTATAGATTTTGAATAAGTATATGTCTAGATATAATAACCAGTAAAAATTTTATACATTCATACTTTTCTAATTATAATATTTTAATTTCTAATATTATCATAAATAAATGTCTCAAAAACATTCAAAATATTTGAAATAGTTTTAAATTATACCTACATATAAAAACAAAATTTTCAGATAACTCCCCTCCCAAACATTATAATAATCATTAAGTACCTCCTTCAATAGTCCAAATATATGTCTCTTGACTCATAGCAGATAGTAAATTTAAAACATTCAAATAAACAAGAACTTTTGAGTCAGTGTGCTGTTCCCAAGTATAATCTTGAATAACATTGAGAAGACCTCGAATTAAATACAATGGTTCTTGTTCAGGATGGTCCTGAAAATACATTGTATTATCAGTCCTAATTAATAATTCAGAACAAGTAAGTGAACACATTTAAATAAACAAGACTAAACTTATATCTTGAGAATTTAACTTTCTATCAAACTGTACTCTCCTAAAATAAAAGTTTTTTTTTTTTTTTTTTTTTTTCTTTTCCCACTTTGTTTTTAAAAGTATTAACTGAAATAAAGTTAGTATACAAGAATTAAGTTAATTTTTCAAATGAGTAAAGACAAAAGTTGTCACTAAATTTGAAAGCAGTGACACCTCTCTAAAATTACCATATACAATTTTAGATTGATTTGGGCTTTTAGCAGAGATGGTTGCTTTAGAAAACAAGATTACTGATGATATCCAGAAACAATATTTATTGATATTTTCAAAAATACTGGTCATTCTCACAGTGGTCTATCAGATATTATCAAATTTTACAGAATTGAAGAGGGGTTGGTTAAAAAAAAAAAAAAAAGAGAAAAAGAAAAAGAGAGGAGAAGAGGGAAGATTATTTTTTAAAACTTATTAAAAATATACACATAATTTACTTGAAAAAATGCTTATGATATATAATTTTACTTTTCAAATAATTAATATTATGTGAAACTATATTATAATACTTTGGTAATTGAAAATTTTCACATACCTGATATTATCAGTTTGTATACAGCTAAGCAGATGCTATATTCTACAAATAATGTCACTATAAACTTAGATCATTACAAACAATCTATTATTACTGATATCATCATGAAAACATCATCACAATCATGTTTTCTAAGGCAATCACCTCTGCTTAAAACCAAAATTGAAAGTGGTCATTTTAGAGAGGTCTCGTTGCATTCAAATTTAGTGATAACTTTTGTCTTCTCTCACTCGAAACTCACTTCCTCTAAAACGATAATTAACAGAACAAAAACATTTGTTAACATTCAAATGAATCTAATTTTTTCTCGTCGGATTAGCTTTATGGATTATGTGTCGAATATAAAAATATAATATATGAAAAAATACTTTCACAAGTTATTACAAGTAATAAAACTTGTAAACAAAATTATTATTACAAGTAGTAAATTAAGAATTTAAAAAATAGTAGTATTAAGAAAGAAATGTTTCTTACTGGCACAATTAGAAGAGTAGAAAGTAGATTGCTTATATAAGATACAAGGTACGGCTCAGTAGACTTATGCTTGCTATCAAGTTCGATTGTAGGAGGGGTTTCTGGTATCAAACTAATAGCAGATTTCAAAAAGGCATCAGCTAAAAAGTATTTTGGTGTCTTTGGTTAACATCCAAATTTACATACAATAAAAACAAAACATAATGAAAATTTTCAGTATTAATTCAGTTTTAGATTCCAGTGTCGGTACCTTACCTTGAGAAAGACACTGGTTCAGCAAAGCCACTTGACCAGATAATAAATACAAATCTAATCTACTGAAGACATCCATTAGTGATGGTATAGTGATGAAACAGTATGCTATACAAGCCTGAAACATTGCACCAAATTTGAAAATATGAAATATGAAAGTGACTGTCTTTATATTAAAAAAGAAATGCAACACTGACAGAAAAATGACACAAAAATAACATCAGAAATAAGTTCTTAGTTAACTTCTAATAGTTTAGTTTAACCCTTTCCAGATGGGTGTGTCGTATATGCCCCCGTAGTATTTGGGTTACTTATGACGGGTGTGAAATTTGCATCTCAGAGAATTAGTCCATAGCTAGATGGCTGTAATATATACATGACCATCATATGGAATTAAATGGACTAATATTTTTAATTCTAACAGACCCTCACGGTGTCCATGGAACCAACATAAATGGGAATAAATTATCTGAACTTTAATCTTGGATTGCTTTATTTGATTCTGAAGAATACATAGCAGGATTCAGTAATGCAGTAGTTGGTGCATTTAGTTAGTTTTTTCTTTTATGTGAATGTAAATTTTCTTCTCCCCTTTCTTGCTTTCCCCCCTTTAAGATGTTAAAACATAAGAGATATTTATCAAAACTGACTTTACAGCTTTATTACAGGAAGATCTGAGTAGCAGCGATGTTAGTGGTGTTGTGTAGCGAATTTAATTTAATTAAGTGATTCATAAAAATCAAAATTTTAATTTGTAATTATTCGAAATTTGAGCTACGCAAGTTTGGTTACATTCTTTTTGGGCCTATTAATTCTAGTGTAATATATTTTGGCTTTCCGAATTTACGCGAACTGCGTCTTCAATCTTGTACACGCAAACAATGGATAAGTATTTTTTTTTCTACGTAATAAACTCAGTTTTTCATGTCAAAAATTAATTTGATTTCTTAGTATTTAATATCATTAGTTGCAGAAAAATTAGCTCTTTAATTTGGCATAACTTTCATTTTTCTAACTTTAATTGCATGTCAGTTATGAGCTTTAATTAGTATATTTTCTTCGTTTCATTCGTGATTTAGTTAAAGGGGGATGAAATGCCGAATTTAATTTAATTAAGTGATTCATAAAAATCAAAATTTTAATTTGTAATTATTCAAAATTTGAGCTACGCAAGTTTGGTTATATTCTTTTTGGGCCTATTAATTCTAGTGTAATATATTTTGGCTTTCCGAGTTTACGCGAACTGCGTCTTCAATCTTGTACACGCAAACAATGGATAAGTATTTTTTTTCCACGTAATAAACTCAGTTTTTTCATGTCAAAAATTAATTTGATTTCTTAGTATTTAATATCGTTAGTTGCAGAAAAATTAGCTCTTTAATTTGGCATAACTTTCATTTTTCTAACTTTAATTGCATTTCAGTTATGAGCTTTAATTAGTAGATTTTCTTCGTTTCGCTTGTGATTTAGTTAAAGGGGGATGAAATGCCTTCTTTCCGGTTGAAAAGTCACTTTTTTGCGAGTTTTCAGCGTTCTTTCGTTGGGACCCTTGCAGGGTTGTTGAAATTCCTAATTCTCCCCCGGTCGCAGGTGGTGTTTATTTTGGCGAGGGTTTGGCGACATAGATTTTCCGTTGAGGTTTCAAAATAGTGGTTTTGGCGAGTTTGATAACATGAGGGTATGCTGTGGTTGCAACTATTTTCAACTTTTCGGCGAAAAAATGGGTTGCGCCAACTTGGCAGTCCGGCGCTCTCCCTTTTAACGGGTTGTTTTGTGGGACGAGGACTTTTTGACACTTTTTTTGCACTTTACTTCTTTTGCCCTTTGAATTGGCCGGAGGCGACAGCTGACTCCGACGAAGAAAATGGAGCTTCTCCCCGATAGACCTACGGGCCTCTTGGCTAAGCGCTGTGAGCGCGGGCCGTAGGTATGGGCATCTATGTCTTCAAAAAAAAAATCGAAATTCTTTCATCAGTTTTTTTTGTTGTGTGTGTTTGTGTATCTCAAGAAAAATATACAGAAGTAAATTTCTAGAAAAATGATGCGCACCATTGATTCGTTCGCTTCACTCGAGACCAGAGCGTTAATTTACAACAACCGTTTTTTTTTTGGAACCTCATTTGCTCATCCTAAAATCTACTAGAACTTCAAGGCTACCAAACCGTAATGAATCCATACTGTTTCTACGAACATTTTTTCCATTCACAACAGGCCGCCAGCACTGTATTTCACTTATCTTGCCGTATTGGAACCTCATTTGTTCATCCTAAAATCTACTAGAACTTCTAGGCTACCGTAATGAATCCAAACTGTTCGACGAACATTTTTTTTTTTTTTTTTCATTCAACAGGCTGCCAGCATTCCTCATGAGCTTCGATGGATTTCTTTTTGTTTGATGCTCCTTAACAGATAAGTTCTTTTCTTTTTTGGTTAATTCTTGGTTAGTTAAATATTATAGATTTCTGCAGTTAAAATGATTGAATTAACTTAATTTGTTAATTTGTTGAACCCTAAATTTTTTTTTTTTGTAGTTGATAACTTTATCCTAACTCTATAGAAATCATTTTTCTTTGGTGTATCAATCAAGTAAAAGCATTAAATGGAATAAAGATTTATAACCTTATTAAAATTATTGTAACTTAACTTAATGGTTAAGAAAATTAAGTTCTTCAGGAAATTATTTACTTGAATGTTTTTTTTGAATTACTCATTGGTGAGGATGATTTGAAATAGTGCTTGTATTAGAGCATTCTTGCTTTTCTCAGGACGAACTTGTTTGTAGAATAGTAAATGTGTCATTACTTATCTTTATCCGGTTAAAAACCATATTTAATTAATCTAAGAAAAAAAAATTAAATAATAAAATTGTTATGTGCAATAATAGTATTTAAATGATTATATTGAGTGCAATATTAAGCAATATTTTTTTGTTGTATTGATGAATTCTGTGTGAAGTAGAAAGTGTAAGCTTGTTAAAATTTTTTTTTATTTTTTTCTCCCCGGGGAGGGTAGTGTTCTTAAATTTATAGTTTATTTTGGTATGTTTTACCAGATTTGCAATATTAAATTTAATAGTAATTACAAGGATGTTAAAAAAAATAATTAACTTGGAAATGTTTGATGTGAAAAACAATAGTTCAAATTTTGTTGAATATATTTTGATTTTTTTTAAAACTAATGGATATATATATATTTAGAATTGGCATTAATGGTTAAATAAATAAGTTTTTCTAGATCATTCAAAGGTTAAATTTTTGTGTGTGTGCTCATGATTTTCACCCGTCTCATTCTCAAATTGATTTCAGGGTTAATCCGAAAACACAACGCAAATGTACAGGGCTTATTGATATTAGTATATTACTGTTAAAAAAATTTTAAGTGTTATGTCAACAGAGTAGGAAACCATAAAAATCACATGGTACCAAAATTGTTATGGTTTCCTACTCTGTTGACATAACACTTAAAATTTTTTTAACAGTAATATACTAATATCAATAAGCCCTTTACATTTGCATTGTGTTTTCGGACTAACCCTGAAATCAATTTGAGAATGAGACGAGTGAAAATCATGAGCACACACACAAAAATTTAACCTTTGAATGATCTAGAAAAACTTATTTATTTAACCATTAATGCCAATTCTAAATATATATATATCCATTAGTTTAAAAAAAAAATCAAAATATATTCAACAAAATTTGAACTATTGTTTTTCACATCAAACATTTCCAAGTAATTATTTTTTTTTAACATCCTTGTAATTACTATTAAATTTAATATTGCAACTCTGGTAAAACATACCAAAATAAACTATAAATTTAAGAACACTACCCTCCCCGGGGAGAAAATAATAAAAAAAATTTAACAAGCTACACTTTCTACTTCACACAGAATTCATCAATACAACAAAAAAATATTGCTTAATATTGCACTCAATATAATCATTTAAATACTATTATTGCACATAACAATTTTATTTATTTAATTTTTTTTTTTAGATAATTAAAAAAGAAAAAAAAAAAAAAAAAAAAAAAAAAAAAAAAAAAAAAAAAAAAAAAAAAAAAAAAAAAAAAAAAAAAAAAAAAAAAAAAAAAAAAATAATTAAATATGGTTTAACCGGATAAAGATAAGTATGACACATTTACTATTCTACAAACAAGTTCGTCCTGAGAAACAAGAATGCTCTAATACAAGCACTATTTCAAATCATCCTCACCAATGAGTAATTCAAAAAAACATTCAAGTAAATAATTTCCTGAAGAACTTAATTTTCTTAACCATTAAGTTAAGTTACAATAATTTTAATAAGGTTATAAATCTTTATTCTATTTAATGCTTTTACTTGATTGATACACCAAAGAAAAATGATTTCTATAGAGTTAGGATAAAGTTATCAACTACAAAAAAAAAATTTAGGGTTCAACAAATTAACAAATTAAGTTAATTCAATCATTTTAACTGCAGAAATCTATAATATTTAACTAACCAAGAATTAAACCAAAAAAAAAAAAAAAACTTACTCTGTAGCTGAGTAGCAGGAAAGACAACCCCCCCCAAAAAAAATGTCCATTGAAGGCTCATGAGGAATGCTGGCAGCCTGTTGAATGAAAAAAAGAAAAAAAATGTTCGTCAAATGTATGGAGTCATTACAGAAGCCGAGAAGTTCTGGTAGATATTAGGAATGAACAAATGAGGTTTCAATTCGGTAAGATAAGTGAAATACAGTGCTGGCGGCCTGTTGAATGGAAAAAATGTTCGTAGAACAGTATGGATTCATTACGGTAGCCTTGAAGTTCTAGTAGATTTTAGGATGAGCAAATGAGGTTCCAAAAAAAACGGTTGTAAATTAACGCTCTGGTCTCGAGTGAAGCGACGAATCAATGGTGCGCATCATTTTTCTAGAAATTTACTTCTGTATATTTTTCTTGAGATACACAAACACACACAACAAAAAAACTGATGAAAGAATTTTGATTTTATTTTTTGAAGACATAGATGCCCATACCTACGGCCCGCGCTCACAGCGCTTAGCCAAGAGGCCCGTAGGTCTATCGGGGAGAAGCTCCATTTTCTTCGTCGGAGTCAGCTGTCGCCTCCGGCCAATTCAAAAGGCAAAAGAAGTAAAGTGCAAAAAAGTGTCAAAAAGTCCTCGTCCCACAAAACAACCCGTTAAAAGGGAAAGTGCCGGACTGCCAAGTTGGCGCAACCCATTTTTCGCCGAAAGTTGAAATAGTTGCAACCACAGCATACCCTCATGTTATCAAACTCGCCAAAGCCACCACTTTGAACTCCAACAGAAATTCTAAGTCGCCAAGCCGTCGCCAAATAACCACGCCTAGTGAAGGGGAAACTTAGAATTTCAACAACCCTGCAAGCCATCCCAACGAAGGAACGCTGAATAACTCGAAAAATCGACTATTTTACCGGAAAGAGGGCAATTCTTCCCCCACAGGAGAAATCACAATGAAAACGAAAAAAAATTATTAATTAAAGCTCATAACTAAAATGTAATTAAAGTTAGGAAAACAAAAGTTATGTCAAATTAAAGAGCTGATTTTTCTGCAACTAATGATATTAAATACTAATTGATTATATTAATAATATAATAATAATAATCAAATTAATTTTTAACAGGAAAAACTGAGTTTATTACATGAAAAAAAATACTTATCCATTGTTTGCTTGTACAAGATTGAAGACGCAGTTCGCGTAAACTCGGAAAGCCAAAATATATTACACTAGAATTAATAGGCCCAAAAAGAATGTAACCAAACTTGCGTAGCTCAAATTTTGAATAATTACAAATTAAAATTTTGATTTTTATGAATCACTTAATTAAATTAAATTCGCTACACGACATCCCCTCCAACGAAGAAAATGGAGATTCTCCCCGATAGACCTACGGGCCTCTTGGCTAAGCGCTGTGAGCGCGGGCCGTAGGTATGGGCATCTATGTCTTCAAAAAATAAAATCGAAATTCTTTCATCAGTTTTTTTGTTGTGTGTGTTTGTGTATCTCAAGAAAAATATACAGAAGTAAATTTCTAGAAAAATGATGCGCACCATTGATTCGTCGGAGTCAGCTGTCGCCTCCGGCCAATTCAAAAGGCAAAAGAAGTAAAGTGCAAAAAAGTGTCAAAAAGTGCGCTCGTCCCACAAAACAACCCGTTAAAAGGGAAAGCACCGGACTGCCAAGTTGGCGCAACCCATTTTTTGCCGAAAGTTGAAATAGTTGCAACACAGCATACCGTCATGTTATCAACTCGACAAACCACTATTTTGAAACCTCAATGGAAAATCTATGTCGCCAAACCCTCGCCAAATAAACACCACCTGCGACCGGGGGAGATTAGGAATTTCAACAACCCTGCAAGGGTCCCAACGAAAGAACGCTGAAAACTCGCAAAAAGTGACTTTTCAACCGGAAAGAAGACATTTCATCCCCCTTTAACTAAATCACAAGCGAAACGAAGAAAATCTACTAATTAAAGCTCATAACTGACATGCAATTGAAGTTAGAAAAATGAAAGTTATGCCAAATTAAAGAGCTAATTTTTCTGCAACTAATGATATTAAATACTAAGAAATCAAATTAATTTTTGACATGTAAAACTGAGTTTATTACGTAGAAAAAAAAATACTTATCCATTGTTTGCGTGTACAAGATTGAAGACGCAGTTCGCGTAAACTCGGAAAGCCAAAATATATTACACTAGAATTAATAGGCCCAAAAAGAATATAACCAAACTTGCGTAGCTCAAATTTTGAATAATTACAAATTAAAATTTTGATTTTTATGAATCACTTAATTAAATTCGCTACACAACAGTGGCTTTAAATAAAAATATGAAACAGGAGAAAATATTGAGAAACCAAACTGTACACAGCAACAACAACAAAAATATGCAAGAAATTATTTTTTAACTTCTCAACATATTGATCTATAATGCTCATGTATTATATGATATAAAAAATAGTACAAAAAGACCATTACTTCAGTTTTCATTGAATGTAATCAAATACATTATGGAGAGAGTCATGTCAAGAAGAGAATAAGAAGTTCAGGCATTAGCTGCAGACAGGCATTTTCCATCTCTAATTCTCAACACAAAGAAAGAGAAAATGAGAAGATAAAATAGTTTGCTCTCAAGCTATCCAGAGGAAGTGAGCTTTGGGAAAAACTTGAGTGCAAAGATTTTAATCTAGGATTCTGCGTGGACCCATGCTTCAGAATATATTGCACAAAAACCCAATTTTTATTAAATTTCATTGTAAATGTATATATGTATGTGTGAATGTGCCAGCGTAGGTTTGTTCTTTTATATTAAATATTTTAATTGTAGTTTAACAAATGGTGAAAGGTTGTCTTAAAATTCCTCTTTCATTGCCTGTATATACGATTACATCTGTAAACTTTATATGTATTTAATTCTATAATTCACCAACCATAATGATAAATACATTTTCTTTAACATTAAAAAAAAAAAAAAAAAAAAAAAAAAAAAAAGAATTAATTGGAATATATTGTAATGTATTTGGAATTGGAATGTATTTTTGCTGAATTTTTTTAGCAAAATTAGGCTTAGCGAGCGAGCATCTGCTGTCCTGTGAAGATCTAAGGAAGCTCAGCATTCTGTCTCATGGCCACAGGGCAGTAGGACTCTAATGCTGTCCAGAAAGGGTTAATGAAGCTATTTTAAAGCTTTGAAAAGCAAAAGTGCATACAGTACAAAGTCAGTAATTCGGACGTCCATTATACGAAATGATCTATAATCTGGACCTCAAAGCCACAAACTGACGCATGCATGTAAAGCGTTTAACCATGCGCACTTCCGATAATGAAGAAAGTGACAGAGAAAAATTACGATTATTTATTAAAAGTATTTATTGAAAACGAAAAAATTTCGATTGACAAGTTAGTTGGTATTCTCGACACAGCAATTACAGGACTTGAACTGTGGAACTTTGTAACTGAACAAGAAATTGTGTGTTTATAAAATTAAAGAGAAAGTACCAGGTGGCCATAATTAAACTGACAGTGCTCACAGTGTTCTGTAGCGCGATCTATTCGCGAGAATGATGCCATATTTTGTAGGAAGATTAAACAAGACGGGGGACGAAGGAGTCCACGAAAAAAAAATTAGTTCCAAAAGTCACCGCTAGGGGAATATTTGGTGCTGTGTAATAGAAAATAGAGTGTTAACAAATGCAAATTAATACGAATAAAATTACCTTTTATTATGGATATGCCTTATGGAATATGATATGCCTTACAGTACGTACATATGGATAATCTTACAAAAGATTATCAACTTCTATCCGTACAAGATCAGCCGTGTGCAGGAGTTACTGTACCCCGACCATGATAAGCGATTGACTTTTGCTCTCACCTTTCTTGCCAGAATGGAGGTGGATGATGCTTGGCCGTGGAAAATCTTTGTGGAAGACGAGGCCCACTTTTACCTGAATGGAACTGTGAATACCCAGAACTGCCGAATTTGGGATGACAAATCACCACATGCAGTCACAGCAATTCCCTTACATTCACCAAAGGTAACTGTTTGGTGTGGGTTCACAGCGGAATTTATCGTAGGTCCATTCTTCTATGAGAACATTACCCCGACAGGACCGGAAACCTGTTCTGTTACCGGAGAGAAATATCGCCACATGTTGAACAGCTTTGTCATTCCGGCACTTCAGCAAAGACAATGCCTGGGGAAAATCATTTTCATGCAAGATGGAGCCCTCCACACGTTGCTGTACGGGTGCAACAGATGCTACGACAGAAATTCACAACAGAAAGAGTCATTAGCCGCTACTTTCCAACTGCATGGCCACCTCGGTCGCCTGATCTTACCCCATGCGACTTCTGGCTATGGGGTTACCTTAAGTCCAAGGTCTATCAAGGAGTGGTCCAGGACCTGGCTACGTTGAGGGATAACATATCACGGACTGTACGGGAGATTCCTGCAGACATGTTACTTTCTGCTGTTGTGCATACTGTGCACAGAATGCAATATGTGGTCCACAACAACGGCAGCCACATTGAACCTCATTTGAATGCAAAATAAAAGGTAATTTCCGTATTGATTTGCATTTGTTAACACTCTATTTTCTATTACACAGCGCCAAATATTCCCCTAGCGGTGACTTTTGGAACTAATTTTTTTTCATGGAATCCTTCGTCCCCCGTCTTGTTTAATCTTCCTACAAAATGTGGCGTCATTCTCGCAAATAGATCTTGCTACAGAACACTGTGAGCACTGTCAGTTTAATTATGGCCACCCGTTATTAGCACAAAAAATGAAACAACTTACATTCAAAGAAATGTTTAATAAAGTAAAACAAATAAATATTAAGCTTTTTTTGCAAGTTTTGATACCCTTTAGATCACTATTGCTCTTTATTTCATCAATTGCGGTTTCACATTTTTAATTGTATAATTTCTGCATGCCATCTTACCAGATTTAAATTGATGATCTACAATCCGGAAAAACCCCTAATCCGGAATCGCCGAAGTCCTTGACGAGTCCAGATTACGGACTTTGTACTGAATTTTGATACAAGAGCCATACATATCACGTTATAAATGAAATAAATAAAGCTAAGTAAAAAATTAATACTCAGAACTTTTAATAAAATTCCTTCTCACTTTAACAAATGATGAAGTTTTTCTAGTATGATGGCCTTTAACAATCTGTCTTGTTCTCATAGCCAGAAGATTAACACACTGAAATCAGATAATAATTTAAACTAAACAATATAATGAATTCATGAAAATACTTTTAACTGAAGTAATATTAGATGCTTTTGACAAATATATATTCTACAATTTAAATTTATTACATATGAGAATTGAGTATTACCTGCACAAGCTGTACGAGAGCCAAATCCAAATTGCTAAACGTTGCCCTTGCCTCAACATAAAATCCTAACTGTTGTTCAAAATCTCGCCCAAAACTTATTTTTCTAATGAAAGCACATATAAGCATCCCTATTTGTCGTTTTTCATCCTCCAAAGTTAAAGCACTGCATGAAAGAGTATGGATAAAAAATTACTATGAAAATACATAATTCATCTCAAGTGGCATGGCTGGCTTTATCTGGTCATGAATTTGTGTGTGTGTGTGTGTGATTTTACATATATCAGCTTATAACTTAAAATATTTTTCTTTCATACTTTCTTTAATAATGTAAATATCATCTTAAAGAATAGAACTTTAGAAAAGCAAATACTAAGTTAAGTAGTTATACAAATCTAGTTTTAATGCTTTTTAAATATGGTTTTCATGAGCAGATTGAAAAAGCTGTGCCACTAAGAGTGTTAAAAAGCTTAATAAACTAAATAAAGTGGAAAGACAAAAGATTTTTCTCAAAATTTCATCAAAATGGTCAAAACAAAATATGTCTTAGAAAGCACATAAGAATTTGATAATAAATGCTTATACACCTAGAACATAATATAGAAAAACATAGTATTGATAAATACACATAGGGTAGAAAAATTTGGAAGAGTAACAACTGTTTAACAAATAACTTACTTCACAGAATCATGTATTGTTTTACAAATAAACATAGCAGCATTGACAATCACAGGATCACAAGTTGTTTCTATTTGATACCTACGTAGAAAGAATTTATAATTAGTTCATTGATGTTACCTAAATCTGAAATTGATTAACTATATATATACACACACATACAAATATAGAGAGGAACTGATAATTTATCACAAAGCTAGATTTAACAGAATTTTAAAAACAACTGTTTTCATCACCATATTTAACTATACTAACTCTTTAGACAACAGCAGCCTTTCTTTAAAATTTACTAATATAATAGAATTTAATGTTAAAAAAAATATATATATATTTTGTTTTAATAGTAGAATCACAAAGAAAAATCTCTATTAGGGCAAGACGTGTCATTAAGTCAATTAAACAGAAATGTGCCCTTTTATTTAAATCGGATTAATAAAAGAACTGATTTTTCCATTTCATCGTGCTATTGTCTTTTTAAAATAAACACAACACATTTCCTATCAAGCTATTTGATATTTTATTTAATAATGCAGAAATCATAACTTTTTAACATATGCTTGAATACTTAAATGAATTTCAGATAGTTCCAGACATTAAAAAACAGTTTAAAAAGTATAAAAAATAGGCTAGAGAAAAATAATTGTTTCCATATTTTTTTCTGCAAATACTACCTAATATTGCATGAAAGTAAACAGTGAAAATCTTGAAAGAGAATGACTGGCGAGTAATAAAAACTATACGACAGCCCATTATCTTTCAAGCTTTCCACTGTCACAGCCATTCTCTTATAACATACAGTAATATGTATATACACACAGAAGTAATGCATAGTATTGTAAATCCTCACATAAGAATAATATACAAAAATATTTATATTAAACTTTTCTTCGGTTTAAGACATATTTTACCGAAAACTAGGAGACTAGAAAAATGTTAAAGCAGAAATTAAACAATATGAAAGTCTAAAGGAGCATAAAATCTCTATAATAGCATGCTCAGTAAAAAGTTCTGTACATTTCATTTTGATACGAACACTAAAACTCTATTTAAGAGAAAAAATACATATTGGAGAAAGTGGTTTCGAAGAGCAATTGTAACTACAAAACTGTATCTAATGGAAACTACAATGGAACATTGGAGTTTCTACCTGAACTTGATAAATATTTAGCATCTCATATTAAATAATGAATGAATTTAGTTTTGCCACATCCAAAAAAAAAATTTTTTAAAAGAAAAAATTTCTGAATCTTTCATAGGGTGTTTTATGAATTTAAGTAGAAATTTAGTTATAGTTTATTTCCATGATAATTTAAGAACTTGATACAAGAGATACAACATTTAATTCCCAAACAAAATAAATACAATAAAAGCTCGACTATCAGGAAAGCTCAGGAAAAGCCAGATATGTGAAACTTTCAGGTAGTTGAATATGTACTAAAAATATCATATAACTCAAAGAAGAAATTTCTAGTCTAAATAATAAAGACCATCTTATTTTTATTATCATCTATATTTAAAACCATGCAACATTTCAAGCAAAATTTGTATTTCATGTATATGTTAATTAATTAACCCTTTGCTTTTTGAATCTGCTTATGAAGAACGGTATATAAACAGCATTGTTTTTGTTAATTTGTATAATTAATTATTTTAAGCTGTTTTTAGAAGCTTTTATTCATTAACATAATATTCAGATCACTATCAAAAAAATATTTTAAATAATAAGGGAATATACATCAAATAACAAAAAATCTCATGCAGGATAAAGGTGGTCATGTCACTCAGGGGATTAAATAATAATAATAAAAATTACACAGAGAGACAATCAAAATTACCTGAAATATCACCAATTAAAATTTTGGAAGACCTTACACAAATATTTACTAAGATAAAAGTTACATACAGAATCATAAAAGTCAGCTGATTAATTATGACAAAGCCTGCAAGGGCTACCTAGATAACTGCAAAAAAAAAATATAGAAAAATACTGAGATGATAAAAGATTTTTTAATAAAATTTGATTTCCTTTTAACTGTACACATGTTTAGAGATGAAACATCAGAAGTATTTTTTATTTTTGGCATTTCATATCTTGGTTAAGTATAGCAAAAATTGCACTAATACTGCATAAGCAGTTTGGCATTTCATATCTTGGTTAAATATAGCAAAAATTGCACTAACACTGCATAAGCAGTCTCATATTCTTATAGAAGTTAGGCAAACTATTATGCATTAGACAGAAATTACTTGATTAATAATAGAAGTCGTTCATAATATATTATGCAATTACTTAATAGTCACAGATCTAAATTATGCATAAATATAAAAACAAAATATTAACGTTATTTTGATCCTTAGTATTTTATTTTTACCTTAACGCCAATCAAAGGTTTCATTTCTTAAATATTATTAGATACTAACAAAAGCTCATTAGGCATTTAAATATACGTTTAATTAATGGGAGAAATATTGCCAATATTTGAACAACAATAAAGTTCTCAGAATTTATTATTCTCAAATTCTTCTGCTCTTTGTAAACAAATTTAGTCATTAATGTCAATATCAACACCTCTAAACTTCTGAAATGACTCAAAAAAACCACTGGCAGATGAAACATTCTTTTTATTCTCATTCACAGATTATTCATTTGACTTCTGTAGTTCCCTTTTTTTGCCGGGGTTGAGAACACATATGTAGATATAAATGCACTTTGCCGGTTATTATTTTTTTACATGCAATAAAAATGAGGTTGCATTTCCATCTTATATGTGTAGCCTAAGTTCCCAGAAAACAAGAGACACCCGCGCGGTAACGCTATCCTGGAGTAACAGGTTGGCGAATTTCTAACGAAGTATGGCAGAGCATTTGTGCGTGGTAGCTGAGCGCTGTTCAACTGTTTTCACAAGAGATACGATCTTCAGTATCGAGCGCGAAAGAGGGGAGTGATTTTCCCGGCAGGGCGCCGGCTAACAGAAGCCGGGGTATACGTAGGAAATTAGCTGGCACGTGCAGTGCACGGTTGCCATGGAAACAAGCAGCAAAGCTGGATGTCGTGGTGAAGGAAGAAAAGGTCAATGCCCTTTTCCCGGGAAAGGTCAGTAATCTGAGCGAGATTCACTACAGCCTTGAATGACGATCGCAAAATTGAAGGGTCAAAACCCAAAGAACTCGAGGAGGGGGAAATCAAGGATTCAGATCAGCGAATGTATCAGCACCATATTTGTCATCATATTCCGCCCACCAGCAGGATACTTCGCTGGATTCATCGGAAATGGCTAAACCTATTGAATATTCAGCCATCTCATCACCGAGAAAACTGCCCAGGATGCATCACAGAAAGCAAATAAATTACACCCACATGAAAGAGGAAACCCCATTCCAATTTTAATGAAGAATACATTACGGTATGGATCTAAAAGTCCTCTACCTCGCCCCTACCACCAACCTCTAGAAAAGACTTTCAGCTAGACAGTATTTTTAAGTGTGCTGATTTCACAAAGGCCCTATACACTTTGCGAAATCAGTACAAAGTATAGGGCCCAGCAAATCCAAATCTCATATTTCAAAAGGCAGATACAAAAATTAAAAAAAAGATACCAAAAAAAAAAAAAAACTTGTATTTGTGCTATTTTACATCACTTGGTTTTAAAACTTATGTCCGGTAAATGGCATCCTCCATTGTTCACACACTGACGAAGCCTTTTCCAAAAGTTACCTTTCTTTGTGTCATTTCCGGTGGAATGGTAGCTGCTGCCTGAGTAATTGTCTCCTTAAGTGCTTACATGTTTACTAGGCGATGTTTGTACATTTGCACCTTTAAATGTCCCCAAAGAAAAAAAATTCAAAAAGTGATAAACTGGGTAACCTTGGGGCCAACCAATGTCTCCTTATAAAGAGAGAAGACATCCAAGAAATTATGCTCTCAGCATTGCTAGAGAACATTACAGAGTGTAAGCTGTGGCTCCGTCTTATTAGAACCAGACTTCTCTTTCTTCGTAGTCTCTCAGAAACTGGTAGTCAGAGGAAAGTCTTGATCATGTAACAGTACCGATTCGTACCATTATTTTATCACAATGAGAGAAACATACATACATTTATGGAGATTCTTCATTATTTAATTTCTTTAAATATAATACAGGGTGATAATATTTGGTGGCAAAAATTTGAAAAGTGATTCAGACTTTTAAAGTTTTCAACTCAAAATGCCAAAATGAAGTTAACAGCCCTTCTGAGCTAAGGCCCTTTGGGCATTTGGAAACAATTTTATTATGTAAAAGCATAAAATAAAGGAACAAATGATATAATCAAATATCATTAATGAGAACAGTCAGATATTAATTTATAACATTACAAACAAAAAATATAGTATAAAAAATAAACCAATACACAATTACAATACAATGAAAGAACAAAACATATACAGTAGAACTCCAGTTACCCGAATCAAGTGGGTCTGGACCTCATTCGGATAATAAAAAATTCCGATAATTGGATTTTTTTCCAAAGAAAGCATCCATGTACATTTTAATTAATTACTGTATGTTTGGGAGAAAATTTTAATTTAAAAAAAAAAAGGTTTTAATTAATTAAAATGAAAAGGCAACACTTTTACGTTCATGTTATATAGAGTACTGTACAGTACTTACACTACTGAAAGACATTGCTTGCGGAACATTTTGGTCAAATTAAGCTATTTGACTGTCTTCATCCATTTTCGGGTAGCCAAGCCGTGCATCTGCTTGACAATGAGAAGTTGCATGTGGTCACACTCGGGCTGATGCTCTATCCACTTCAAGGCCGGCTGATGGTCCCATGTCTGCTTCAACTTCGACATTAAAGTCATCTTCTTTTAAGCACTTTCTTCTCGCATACTTTCAATAAGTCCATCACCATTTAGAATTTTAAATGCTGGGTCTGATGAATCACATACCATCCATTCTGCTGTATCTCAGCACAAATTTCTGAAATTTTCAATGGAGAAATTCCAGAAATTTTCAATAGAATGTTTCTTAATTCTTCAAGTGACAACTCATCCTCATCTTCTCCTGTCTCTTCCCTTTCCTTTTCTTGAGCTTCTTTTTCCTTCATCTCCTTTGCCTTCTCTTCTTCAGTTGATATACCTTTCAACTTGTTCCACGAGTGTTTTAACGTGACTGCTTTAATCAAGCTCCAAGCTTCTGCCACCATGTATGCCCAAACGTTCTTTTTTTTTTTTTTTTTTTTTTTTTTTTTTTTTTTTTTTTTTTTTTTGTGGTTAGCCAACACACCTTCATCTTTGCTCTCTCCCAAAAGTTTCCTTAACACTCTGGCTGATCATCTTGCGATTTCCACGGGCAACTCAAATGTAGCAAAATTTGCTCATCTCACAATTTCCGATTTTTTTCTTCCTTTATTGAGGAGCGCATCCCGTTTTTTCCCGGTTTAACCATTGAAATAAATATATACAGTATCAGGTGTTTCGTTTACGTTTGGGCCAACAGATATCGTTAGTTGTCCACTAAATTGCGGCATTTGAAGGCACGTGGTATTAGCACTTGAACTTCACTTTTTGCCGCTTTTTTCTTACAGAAATGGCTGCTAGAAAACATTCAGCGATTATCTTGATTATTTAATTAAATTATTGAATTATTGATTGCATTAATAATTAGATTGATTATTAATAATTTTTATTGAATATGGTGCAAAGACTGTGAAGTTTGAACTCTATCATACTAAACTGCATTTTTAAGGTATTTTTACCTCAGCGCTTTATATTTTCTTAAATTTTATACATTTTACTTTTTTATATTATGCAATAAAAAGAAATAACCTGTAATTCGACTAAAATTTATTTTAAAAAAGAATTTTTTTTTTTTTTGTGATAACATCTGAAACTGGTTTTTCTGACAATTTAGTTTGTCATAATAAAAATCTATATAAAAAATATTTTCTAGAAAGAAAAAGTGCATTTTTCAATTCTTCTATATATAGAGATTTAAAATATACAATAGATAAATAAATAAATATGCAGTTTTGGAAGCGATTTTGGTCCACAAATTGAGCAGTCAGAGAGAGGGTTAAAAGTTCCCTTCTGCAATGCCATTACATGGTTTCGGTAATAGACTGGCCCATTAGTTGCAACAAGCTTGTGACGTTAGGTGGTAAAAAGATTACTGTAAAAAGATTGTAGACAGAATCATTATTTTGTGAATCACAGTATGTCTCTGTCTTAAATTTTTTTTCTCAAATTCTTAAAGCGTTTCGGATAACTGGAGTTGTACTGTAGTATTAAGTAAATACCGCCTAAAAATATTGTTTTAGTCTATTATGTAATATTTATTAATAAAGGAAAACAACTAATTTATTAACAGCATATTTTTTAAATGCAGTCGTAAACAACAAAATGCATGTCTTGAACTGTCATTAAGACTGGACGTATTTATGTGCATAAAATTACCTGCAGTTGAAAATGCACTTTCTGCATCCATGCTGGTTTGTGGTACAATTAATAATAAGTGATATGCTTCCTCTAAATATTGGTCTCATAGTCCTTCATCTTAATATCTCAGTCTCTTGTATGATAACATCGCATCAATAAATTATTTTTTGAATTACTTTTGCAAATGTATGAGACAATTTGTTTATTTATAGCTAGTTTTAATTGTTTCTCAAGAAACAATTCTTTTCCAATATAAACATCAACATCATCTTTAATGGTTTCCTCTCCTTAGGTTTGTGTTTGCTTTTTGTACATGTTTTGTGAAAATTTAAAACAAACTTAATTAAATTTGACCTTGTAAGGCTTTTTTCTTTTTTAAAAAATCATTATAATTACAACACATTCTGGCATATAACGGTTACATTTAATGTAAAAAATAAGATTGAAATTTAAGGGTGTGCATTATATGCCAGATATAAAAAGGATAGATTTAAAAATAAGAAAAAGATGACCATATAAAAATTAGATTTCTGCACGTATCTAAATGCTGTTTATTTAAAAGAAATGACATACCATATGAAATTAAAAATTTTCATTATTGGATAACATGAAAAGTTCCTCATATTTGTTCTTCAGTTATCAATTCCCGCACATCATTAAATTCTGTTTCATCTTCACCATCACTTTTACTTTGATCCATAAATAAATAACCATCTTCCATTCCCTCTAGATTGTCAGATATACCACATTTTTTAAATGACTTATGTTGGGTTTAATATCCACTAACACTACATTATTCCTCCTTTCGTAATGTTTTTTCACCTTCTAACATCCACGTATTTCAATGCTTTAAGTTTTCTTTGAATGCTTTATTGATACACACATCTAAAGACTGAACTAATGGCATTAATCTGCTTGGAATAATTGTCATGTCTGTATTACACTCTTTTAACAATTCATTCATATTACCTGTTAGATGGGATATTAACATGTCACAAACTGTTCTGTATTCTTAAAGGCAACAGGATGCTTTTGCCAAACATTTTTTATCCACAGTTTTCCATTTTCGTTCATCCATCATTTATTGTGAACATGAGTGAAAACAGCATTTGGAAAATTACATTTTGGTGTTTCTTTCTTTTAATAATAATCATGGTTTTTTAATTTGATACCGTCAGCTAAGTTGGAAAGCAAGATTTTTTGTGACCTGTTGCTTTTATGTGAACCATTTTGGTTCCTTTCTCATAAATTGTTTTATTTCCTATCATATCAAATATTACTGGAGTTCCATTCTATTTCCAATATGTGACAGTAATTTTTTTTTTTTTTTCCTTTGTAGTTCAATAACATAATTCTGGAAACTTTGTAGTCCAGATTTTTTGGAAGCCTTTGGGAAACTTTCGTTCTTTTCTCATGAAACTAAATTATTCGGTGCTATAAATCGACTACACCATGCTTTAAAACTTTCAGTGCCCATTTATTTATTTTTGTTTCTTTTCTGCCCACTTAAAGGCAAATAAATATATGTTATAATACGATGTAACATATATTTATTTGCCATGTTACAATTAATCCATTCTGACAATTTTCTAAGACCCAGTTTGCAACACTTTCTTGTAGGATAGGCGATTTCATTACTCCTTCATTACACAAAGCATATTTATTCTTTGGCATACTTATTATTGCGATTTCATTTTTCTTCCACTCACATGTAGAGCTTTCACCAATACCAGACATTTTTGCTGCAGCATGATTTCCATTTTCTTTGCAAACTGAACGACTTGGTATTTGAAACTTGCACTGTGTTTATTTTGTATGACAAAAGTCATATTTACTACTCAAAGGAACACTAGATCAACTGTATTTTAACTAAAGCAAATACAATTTATTACTTTTGATATTCACTTCAAAATCATGACTACAGAAAGAGAAAACATCAGAATTCTAATTTTGAGAATTCATTTGGAAGTGCATTCTTACCCCAAATTATGTCCCCCTTTTCTTGAAACTCTTATACATACCATTGAATACAACCCCCCTCTTTGCAGAATTATTTACTTCCTCTGCATATAAATAATTCCCCTTATCACTTATCGATTCAATGTACCATTGTTCAGAAGCCTGGAAAAATTGTTCAAATGAAGGACTTCAAAAGATAAAAGCATCCCACATGTATCTTTCAGGTTTCTTTATAAAGAATACACCTAAAAGCGAATATATACAGAGAACATACCTAAAAATTTAAAAGTGTAATTCGAAATTATATGTGCTTCCAGGGTGTACGCCAGAATATATGGTATGTAAAAACCATTTTAACCCTTTACTAAAAAAATATTTATTATTTACCAAAAATGTTGGTATTTTACCTTAGCAAATACTGACTTCACAAAACTGCAAAACACCAGTAAACTTTAGCACAAAACACCAGTATCTGGTATACCAGTGTACAAATATTGCAATCACTAAACACATCCAGGTCACAAAACTCAACTACTTTAAAACACTTCAAAAACTGAACATATCACAGTGTTCTCATTTTCTACAATTTAGGAAGAAAAAAAAAATGAATTACATTCAGGATGATTTACATTAAAAAAAGAAATAAAAAAGTCCCACCTGATGTGTAATATTTTTAAAGAAAAATTCCTAAAATCTGGTTTAAAATATCTCATTGACCCTTTATAATAAATTACTAATGGAAAATATCCATCCATAATTGTACCAGACTTTTCTAAATTAAACATAGGCAAATATATTTACTCTTCCCTGAGCATGTGAATATTAACTGAAACAAAATTGCAATATAATGATTTATATAAGTAGTACATATTTATGCTGTCATTTAATTTTTACCTTATGAAAGCTTCCATTATTACTTTACAAACTTCAACTTTTACAGGCTCCTTTTGCAGCATATCAAGGAAGGGCAGAAACTTGTCCATAGAAAAAACAGCACTAAAGTCATGTAAATGTGCTAAAATGCGATCAATTACTCTAGTCAACTGAGGATAATGTTGTTCAAATGCCCTATCAGGTGTCATATGTCGAATTATGTCCCCTAAAAATGTGTTTATTTCTCGTTTCTGTGTGGAAAGAAAATACAATATCAAGATACACAAGTTCATTTTATATTTGAAATGTGAAAAATGAATAAAGTACAAATCATAAAAAGTAGGAAATATTACAATATAGTAATAACTCATATAAATTAGTCTAAAAGTCTTGAAATATCCTTAATTCAAGAAAACAGTCTCAGAATCAAATTAAATATTAAATTTAACATGCTTAATTGATATTGGCATATGCTAACCCAGTGGTCAGCAAACTCGTGAGTTGACAGAGCCAAGTTATCAACAGCTCAATGATTGAAATCTCTTTTGACAGTCACATTTTTTAAACTTAAATTTTATATGTAGAAATACTGTTATTCACTTAATTAGGGTACTCTTATGCAGGCTTTTACTAAGAATGTCTTCAATCTGATCAACGTACATTCACTGAGGTCGACCCTTTTCCATCTCTCCCATCCATACTTGTCTTGCATACTTGTTTTGTGCAACTTCTTTCGTTTATCCTCTCTCTATATCCAAACCATCTTAACATACCTTTCTCAATTCTCAATAGTACATTATCTTTTTTCACTTCCAAAAACTCCCTAAAATTAACTTAATACTTCAATTTTTAAGTCCTAGTTAAACTATACAGGTATTTCGAATATAACCTGATATTACACTTAATAACAATACTATTTATTGATAAAATAAAATTGTAAGTTATCCAAAAACCTTAATCATGATAATGATAAACAAACACTAATGTGAACACATCCTTGCATCTCCTTAGAAAGTTTGTGTAACTCGGGTTTGTATGTTGTTGTTTTTAATTAAAAAAAAAAAAAAAAAAGAGGATTCAACGATTTTCTAAAATTTAAACTATCAAAAATCTTTCTCATTACACTGAATTCATTAGGAAGATCAATGAGTGTCAAGTATAAATTAAATTCATAAAAAATTCAAATAAACATTATTTGCAATGAGTGTGCTTAAGCTTTATAATTCTGTCAATCATAAATAAATACTATTATAATGGATGAATAATAATAAAAATATTCACGTCAGAATACTGTAACTTTTATTAACCAGATATAATACTGTCTTAACCACTGCATCCAGTATGATTGAGATATTTTCATTTAATAACATGAACTTTTATTTAGTGAAAATTGAAGTTTAAAACATGTATCAAACACTTATGCTCTCAGGAGGATATCTTTGGCTACTTGGTGGAAATTTCATATGCCCATTTTGAAAAATCATCATTTGGTTGGATATAATCTGGCTAATGCAAAAATATATTACTTATCCTAGAACTAAACACAGAATTTTTTACTTACTGTAAAATGTTTTACAGCATATTCTATCCAGATTTCAGCACAACTCATATAATCCTAGAAAAGAAATTCTTACGTAAAAAAAAAAAAAAAAAAAAAAAAAGGTAAAAGTTATAAAATCTAATGAATTCACAAAAATGCATGCTGTTCAGATGACAAATATTCAAAATAATGAAACAGTATCTTTATTATTTATTACATATACAAGGTGTGACACACAAAAAAAAAAAAAAAAAAAAAAAAAAAAAAAGAGAGACTGGTCCAATAAGTCATTCTACTTAAAGAACCAGTTCTCCATGACATTATCACCTTCAAAGTAGTTCCTTTCAGCATTCACACACTTCTGCATTCTGTGCTGCCATTGCTTCTAACAGTTCTAGAACAAGGGTTTTGGAAGGCCCTTAAGGAGATTTTCCACTTTTGCCTGAACCTCTTCAGCTGAGGTCAAGAGGGTTCCCTTTAAGATTTAACTTAAAGAAAATAGAAAAAAGTTGCATGGAGCCAAATCAGGTGAATGCAGAGGATGCCTCATCACAGCAATGTTTTTACTGGTCAGAAACTGATTGACAGATATGGCCATGTGAGCAGGTGCAGTGTCCTGGTGCAACAGCCATTCATCATTCCACAAGTGTGGCCTTTTTTTCCTAATTTTTTCACGAAATATCTTTAGTACTTCAATGTAGTAGTGCTGATTAACAGATTGACCACTAGGAACCCGTTCAATCATGATGAACATGCTGGGCGCCTAGCACGTTCATTATCTTTCATACTATCTCTTACGCCTGAAAATTGCTTAGGCCATTCAAACACACATCCATGAGACAAAGTTTCACCTCAATAAGCCTCAGTTAACATTTGAAATGGCTGATTTCTTAAGTTTCACAAGAAAACTTCATGTTGATTCATTGTTCGGTTTTTTTACATTAGACATTCTTCAGGAAGAATGCAGTTGCAGGTGTTCACTCAATGATGCAGTACGGTTAATAGCGTGATCGGTTAAGTCGAAATTGACTGCATGGATCGAGGAGATGTGTAGCATGACGTCACCAAAACAGTTATTGCCAACTACACTTTGTTTTCAAGCTACACACTTAGTCTCTCGTTTTGTGCCACACCTCGTATTTCTGTGTTTCACCTTTTGCAGGTGGGAATCTCGGGTACCAATTATGTGCGTGTCTCCAATAGTAACTAAAGACCAATGGCAAAATTGATGCTGCAGGATAAGAATACATGTATTTTGTGGCTGATAAAATGTAACTCAGAAGATTTCCAAATACAAAAAAGTACCGTAATTTCGCACATATAGTCCGCAGACACGATTTTATATAAAAAAAATTTCAAAAATCGTTAGATAGTCCGCACCACCGGATAGTCCGCGGACTATACGTCCGAAATTACGTTTTTTTAATACAGCAATATTCCCATGCTTTTCAAACACATCCTTTTGTTTGTGCCAATTTCTCACTGCTTTCTCGTCCACTTCAAAATAACAGGGTAAAACCTAGTATACGATTGCAGCCTTGGCGCGACTTTGAAAATTATCGCCAACACCAAAATGATCCAAAGAACGTCTATATATATAGTTATACCCACATAGTATATGTATATACACACATAATATATATACTATATACTATGTTTAACTATATATTTTCTTTGAATGACCCGTTAACTACTCATCGTATATCTCCCGTTTTCACTGCTCATCATAAAGTCGCCAAATCCCGTGTGCACCGAATACTAGGATTAAACCAATAACGGCCCGCTTCTCTATTTCCATCTTTGTCAACTACCTTGAGTTTAACTCAGCAGTAAAACTCCGGCGATGTTTCATCAACGTTATCGAAGATGAAAGACAAAATACGAAAACAAAATACTGTGCAACGTGCTATACTCGTGATAAGTGGTAATGAAATGTGACCTTCGACCCCACTCACTCGGTGTTGCCAAACACGCTATAAGTAAGCGAATCATGCTTTTTTTTTTTTTCGTACTCCAGGTACTTGCTACTATGGCTCCTAAAAACCGAGTTGACGCATCAATTACTTTTCCCCCTCTCGGCAGTTGCGCTAAAGCAGTGCGAAGGATACTGGGATACAACACTCTGGTTGCGCTAAGTGAGTGCTCATACAAGACTTTCTTTGGCTCATATCTCGGCATCGCTTGATGCGCCAGCCTGGATTTTAGGAGCTCTACTTGCTACTACTTATTCGTTCTGCTCTATGGTTTACTATCGATACGATACATACGAATGTCTTCTTGGAATCTTGCGCTTTTTTTATATTTGATCATCGGGAGTTCACGACAGCGTGTTTTTTTAAATTTCAACGATTTTAACCGTGAACAACCAGCGTATTATCCGCACTGGTGGATAGTCCGCAGCTTCAAAAATTCGCATTTTAAACACAGATAGTCCGCGGACTATACGCGCGAAATTACAGTACATATTCTTTAACCCTCTTGAGCATTACGGGTTTAGCCCCAAACTTCAAAGTTCCTCAAAATGTCATGAATAAGTGATATTTTCTTGATTTTAATTAAAAAATGACTTTTTCATTTTGTATCTTGATTCCTTTTCTTCCAATATACATCCAAACTGAAATCAGATACATTAAAAGCTAGCAGAAATTTTCATGTATAATGAATGTGGAAGGCAACCTTCTGTATGGAATTTTCTGGCCGTAATGCTGAGAGGGTTAAATAACAAGACTATGGGAATTAACCTCAAGCATATTACAATAAAACTTTAAATTCAATGCATAAGATCTGAGCATTCTTAAGGTGATTTTTTGTAACAAGTTTCCTATACAGTACTGAAAGCAAGCTAACATTTCTGTTGTTTATAACTTTTACACCTGTCACTAAATATATATTTTGCCAAAAGTATTAAACTTTTACTCATAACTGAAGATTAAAACTATGCTTAAATGAGAGACTGCAAATGTAGGTATTCGCTTAACAAGACAGCAGCCAAAATGTGTGTAAATATGACAATGATAACAAACTTACATCATAAACTGGGTGATTATTTCTCATTATGTTTTAATCCAGACCTATTTTTATGCAAGATTCTTGACAAAAGAAGTCTGAAGTATTTTAACATTCAACAGTTGCTAAATGATCAGCAATATGCCAACAAATTCTTTCAGGGAAAAGCAATTTTTCTAGAGAAAGTGTTGAAATAACTACAAGATGAGTTATATTGCAGCACCAAAATGGCATTGCAGCCAATGTTCAGGCCAGGAGAGGAAAGGACTGGGAACCTACAACTGGTTTGATGGAATTATTCAGTAAAACTCTATATTATTCATGTACAGTAATTCTATATATTCACGTACAGTAATATGCATTGTTAGAGTTGACATTGTTGAAATTATTTCTTTTTCCCTCCGATGGATTCAGTTTTTCTTTTATTTTTTATCGTCTGTCGCCGACTAGGTCACGTGACTGGCGGCAGAGAAGGAATGTAATACTCTGTTAGTTAAGCTTGAGGGCGACGCCTTGAAATGATCTGTTCTTGGCCGCATAGCGGTAATAATTGTTCTTGATAAACTAATCTTGGCCCTATGATGGGAAAATTTATAATATATGTATGATTTTGTGCTTTCAATAATGTAAATAATGTACATAAGCTCTTCTGATTTCATTCTTTTAAATGTTTTTGTTTTTATATATAAAAAAAAAAAAAAAAATAGAATCGTGAATTCGTGATCATAAACGTGACAATTTTTATACACATGTTTTTGGTGCCGAAATTCCCGGACCTTTAGATACTTTACGAAATCGAAACTGAATATAGTTCTTGAATATAGTTCTATGCTGGAATAATGGAAGGATACCTGAAAATATCAGGTAAGCCATTTTCTTTCATTCTTGAAGTATTCAACCTTGAAAAATAATGATTGAGTTAAATAAAAAGTATTGAATATTTATGTTGTTTTATTGAAATATTACTTGAAAGAATAATACTTCATTGATGCTTGAAAAAATAATTTATCTTAATCGAAGGAAGGAAATTTGTGGACTATAAATATATTGTTTTTAAAGGAAGTGCTTAAAATATTGAAATACTGTACTTTAATTTTGTTACAATTATTTGTTGAATTTTATAAGGTTATATTCCATTACTTGAAATATGGAAAATATAGACAAATTAAAGTCGAAAAGAGCTGCTATCAGATCTGCAATCACTAAACAAATAAATAAAGCAGAAGATTTGCTGGTAGCAGCGATTGAAAGAACTGACACAGATTCCTTGTTAGAGTGTCAGGATATTTGTCAGAAAAAGAAAATTCTTTAAATGAAATTGATAAAGAGATAGATAAATTGATTGAAGATAAAGCTGAATATGAAAAAGAATTAAAATCTGTTGAAGAATACTCTCATAAAATTTTGAGTATGAAATCCAAAATTAAGAATAGGTTAAGAAAATGTAAAGCAGATACCGAAGTTAAGGACTGGAACTCCTAAAAACTGTTTGATGGAAGTTGCAGTTAAATTAAATATTAATTCATGTACAGCAATTCTATATTTTAACGTTACAGAATATGCTTGTTAAGTGACATCTTTTGTCAAGGTAAATTTCACCAAATTGAATCTTTAGGCAACTGGTTTCATATACATGAAAAGTATGGAATGCAAATTTTAAATCTCACTTATTACAATGAAGAATTTTAAAAACTAGAACTTTCTTGTAAAATCATCAAAAATATAAGTTTTAGGTACACTTTCCTTTCCTTTGTCAGTAATTTAAAAAATAAAATAATTAAAAGAATTTAGGACAACAAAAATGACAAGCTGTTGAGAAATAAATGAACTTTGTTATAATGTTAAAAAAAAAAAAGGCTCAAAAAGAACATCCTAAAGTTTAAAAAAACTACAATATGATGTTTGAAAAAGATATAATAGTTAGTACCTTTTGGAATTTATAAGAGAATAGTTTACGTGCCCGTGAGGCCAATATTAGTAATAATTCTTTTAATAATACATTACACTAATTTAATTAATTCCAAAATATATAATCAGAACTTTCTTCTAAGAAAAGTGTTCCTTCGGCT